AGCTATCAACCCTCGCTAGCAGGACCTGAAGCGCCTGAATCTGCACATAGGGTGCAGGGAGTAAAGTGAGTACTCCAACTCAGTGAGTAATAACAATAAATGAAGACTGAGCGATAAGAAATCACGTAAAAACACATCAACATGCTATAAAGAAGCAGTGTAAAACCAATAAAAACAATGAAACAGTGAAAACACATAAAGTCGCCTTAGTTTAGAATAAGCTTCTTTAAAACACCTTTTTAACAGTTAAACAATTAAATGAAAAGCAGCTAGAACAGATAAACACATAAAATCCGCCCCTCGGGCACAATGTCAACTGAATAAGCCCCTCGGGCAATAACATGGAACAACTCCAGCCCCTCGGGCTATATCTCATATCACAATAGGTACCCACGCTCACTGGGAGTGTACAGACTCCGGGAGGGGCCCTTACGGCTCAAGCGTAATATCAAGTCATCTCGTGACATAATCAACAGGCTAATGCTTGCATTACTAACCCATGTATTACTAATCTCTGCATTACTAATATATTTTATTCAACATTATTTTTATACACCTCACCAAACGACCCTTTAAGGTACGGTCTTTCCCCGAACCTTATATGAATGCAGACTACCTCTTGCATGGCGCTGCCCTTTATCACAAAGAAGTCACGATCGGTCCGGTGAATTGAAAATTCTACTGTGGGACTTGAACGATGAAATGGTCGGAATAGAGGAATATGTTGATGTGCCAAAGACCACAGTAGATTTCGATCGATGATTCGTGGTCATAAAAATTTCTTCTTTTTCTTTTAGTTTTTTTTTTAAGCCAGAAAAATCATGAGCCTTGTATCATAAAGCTCCTTTTGAGAAAAGGGGGTTTTCGACGTGATCCTTCTTCTAGTGTATACTTTAAAATTTTGTACCAATCTTGGAATGACGAAAGCACTCATGTCGAATTTTAAGAATGTACGTATCAAGTATTTGTGCAATTTGAACATTTTTGTACTTTCTCAAAATAGAACATCTTACTATCGTTCTTTACTTGTACCGTGTACCGTAGTTCCTTTATTTCAATTTAGATGACACACTTTACTTATTAGTTTATTCAAATAAGAATGACACATTTTTACAATTAGAAATAATTCAACTTTAAACTCTTTATTTTAACCATTTTACCCTTAATAAGAAGCTTTTATAACCACAGAAATATCATAATCCCATAAAGCTTTTACTCCTTAAGCTTTTAAGACCACAAGTTTTAAATTTTTTTTTTAAACTTCGTGTCAAGTCAACTTACCTCGTCTAAATTAAAACGGAAGGAGCATAAACAAAGAGAAAAAATTATGTCATTTCCAGAAGTTACAGTATGCCAAAGTATTTGTTCTCATACTTCAACTAGGTTACATGTGGAGGACAATACTACTTTGATTTCGAATGGAATGGCGTCTTTTTTTTTTTTAAACAGATAGAGTGGAGAGCTATTTTGCAAAAAGATTACAATTCTGTTATATTTCTTTTGCGTTATACGATCTTTGGTCACTTTATTTTGTGGAATATACATCATTTGAGGATGTATTATTTGATTACTACATAAAATAGGTAATAGCTATTGAAGAGAGTTATTATGTGTATTTAAATATTTAAACTCCTTTGGAAACCCCTTACACAATCGATGACGGACAAGGACTTTTGTCTAAACCCGAAATTTTCACATTCGGGACCGTGATAATGCCTAACATTTCATTTGCTAAATAAGTCTACGTTAGAAATTGTTTTTAGCCATTTTAACAATTCAAATTAAATGATAACCAAGAAACTGAATAAACTGAAATAGAGTGCGTAAACCGAAATAATAACGATGTCTAGATACAATCCCAGAACTGGTGTCATAAGTACACGAGTGACTAGAGTACTACAAATAAAAGTCTGAATGAAAGCATAAATGTCTTAAATGAAATAAACAGCTAGAGTAATGTAGAAAGGGAATGCGAACGCCGTGCAGCTGTACCTCAAGTCTTCATCAAGCAATCAATCCGAGCAATCTACTGACTGCCGCTAGGACCGACTCCAAAATTTGCACAAGAAATGCAAAATATAGTATGAGTACAACCGACCTCATGTACTCTGTAAGTGCTGAGCCTAACCTCGATGAAGTAGTGACGAGGCTAAGGCGGGTTACTTACAATAATATATACGCTGTATAATAATAATAACAATAGGAAAGGAAAGCAGAAAATGACGATAAAGCAGTTAACTGATGAAAACAAACTCGATCCTCGAAATTAGTGGATCCAAAAATATCAGTCCTTAAAATCTCATATGAAAATACTGAAAGCTAACACAATGCAACAATGAATACAACACCATTGGGGGGCGCAATCCGGTCCCACCGTACAAACAAAACCCTCCTTATTTCATCATATATATCAATATCAAGAATAACATGTAAAATCTATTGCGGCGCGCAGCCCGATTCCACTGTACAATATCAAATTCTCCTTTGTTCCACCATATCACAACCGTTGCAACGTGCAACCCGATCCAGAATTAAAATCAATAAATGTAATCAATTCAACAACTCAATTCACAAGAATCTCTATGACAGTTAAAGTATACAAGTAAGACAATTAAGGCAAGTAGCAATAATCATGGAATCATGGAAGACACATACATTTTAATACAAGAGAAAATAAATAATAAGTAACAAGTTACGGCATATAAAGAAAATAAAGCATATAACAATTAAGACATGTAATAAGATGATTAATGAAATACGGGAAAACATGAAAGCAATTATTTTGATGGCGTATATACACTTGTCACCTTGCATATACACCGCTACACATGTAACTCACATAACATATAGTTCAAGGGTTCCTAATTCCCTCAAATCAAGGTTAGACCCCAACACTTACCTCGCTCTGTAAGCAAATCAAAGCTCAACCGGGCCTTTCCTCTAAAATTTGCTTCCAAACCAATCGAATCTAACCAAAATCGACTTAATATTTACAAACAATGCTAGGGAAATTAATGACAATCTTAAAGTTGAGATCTTTACACTTTTTTCAAAAAGTCAACAAAAGTCAATCCTGGCCTGCTTGGTCAAAACCCGAGATCCGGACAAAAATTCGATTACCCATTTATCATCGAGCCCAGTTATGCAATTAGTTTCGAAATCTGACCTTACGTCTAAATCTCCAATTTACAATTCCCCCCTCCAATTCTATCCAAATCCCTAATTTTCTACCATGAAAGAGCATAAATTAAGGTTAGAAATCAATGGGTGTTGATGAAAATGGAAGAAAATGAGTTAAAATATACTAACCTACAAAGTGAGGATGAAATCTCTCTTCAAAATTGCTCTAGGCCGAACTCTAATATGAAGATAGTAAAAAAATAAAGAATATCCCATGTTTGGAACATTTTAAATCACTGGCGTCAGGTCTTCATCGCGTCGCGAAGGACATGACACGATCGCAAAGCACAACAGTCCTATAGGCCTTCGCGTTCGTGAGATGCCCTATGCGTTCGCGATGGCTCTGCCCCCCTGGCCTTCGCGTTTGCGACTCTATGATTGCGTTTGTGTAGAACACTGCCCAGCTCCCCCGGAATCCCCACAAAGCTTCGCATTCGCGGAGGCACAGTCGCGTTCGCAAAGGGTAAGCCTCCCTTCACTTCGTGTTTGCGACCAGCACCTCGCATTAGCATAGAGGAAATCCTCCCCAGTCACCAGCTACCCTTCGCGATCGCAAAGAAGAATACACCAGACATCAGAAACCTCAGAAACCAGCAATAGCCTAAGTCCAAAAATTATCCATAGCCTATCCGAAACTCACCCAAACCCCTCGGTCTCCAAACCAAACATGCACATAAGTGTAATAACATATATGAACTTGCTGGCACGATCAAGATATCAAAACAACACCTAGAACTACGAATCAGATATCAAAATGAATGATATTTTCAAAGAAACTCAAGAACATGCAATTTTACAACCGGACATCCGAATCACGTCAAATCAACTCCGTTTTGCACCAAAATTTTCAGACAAGTCATGAATACTGAAATGAATCAATACCAAATTTCGGAACCGAAATCTGATCCTAGTAGCAACAAAGTCAACTTACTGTCAAACTTAAGAATTCTTTAAACCTTTAAATTGTTAGTTTCCAACAAATTACGTTAATTCAAGTTAGGGACTTCCGAATTCGATTCCGGGCATACGTTCAAGTCCCAAATCACGATACGGACCCACCAGGATTGTCAAAATACTGATTCGGGTCCGTTTACACAAAATATTGACCGTAGTCAACTCAAATGAGTTTTATGGCAAAATTTCACATTTTCTTCAATTTTTTACATAAATTTTTTTCAGAAAACACGGACTATGCACGCAAATCGAGAAAGACTAAACGGAGCTATTCTAGGTCTTGGAACACAAAAATGAAGGCTAAAACTGAAAATGACATGTCGAGTCATCACAACTCTAAACACTCTTCGGCACGTGTTACTCGTTTTTTGAGTTTACACGTAGATTGATTTTTTTTTTTTTGTCCTTTTTTATTAGAAAACCGAAGAGCGAACTTAATCTAGAGAAAGATCAAGCTCAACAGGGTGAAGAGTGATATGAGAGGAGAGAGGACTTAATTTGGGCTTCAAACAGAAAAATTTAAAGCAATGGGTGGAATTGTCCAGGACCATTTAAATTCCCTTTGGAAATTAAACACTTACACGACTGATGAGGAACAAATGCTTTAACAACAATGATACCATTGGATAAATTTGAATTTCAAAATTGTTACCCTGTAATTAGAATTGTGTCCTCTTAGTCCTTGTAACTGTCCTTTTAGGATTAACAATATGGTTCAAGATATACGCAATGTTGTGGCAGTACTATCAAGTTAATTATTGCTAATATGGACCACCTTTGAATATTCTTTTGTCTGACTTTTTCCACCGCCTCCCTGTATATATATATACACCAAGCAAAATCTTTTGCATGAGCGTGGTATTTATAATATAGCCCCTTTCAAAGAGGGAACTTTCTTTGTATCGGTTAAGATGCAACGCCAAGCTGTCTACATGAGGAGAAGCCTCTTCGATCAGGTCTTATTAATTACTATTTATTTTTCATATTATAAAATATATTTAGTGAAAATGACACCAGATAGCCATTTTAAGCATATTATTTAAAATATATTCACAGTTCATAATGTATTTATAAATTAGCCAATTTCGTTCAAACTTCAGGACATCGTGTCCTAAAGTTTGAAAATTGTGTCCAATAATTTAAACTTATGTCCTGAATTTTAAATTAGTAGTTCAAAATTCAGGACACTTAGTCCGGAATTTTTAATTAGTAGCTCAAAAATTCAAGATACTAAGTCCTGAGGTTTGAAAGAATTGGCTAATCTTTAAATACATTATAAATTATAGATATATTTTAAATAGCGGACTTAAAAGTGGTCATTGCTGCACTTCACCCTACAAATAATTCAATCCCGAGGGGATGATCTTCGCTAAATTTGACATTTCACACTTGAAATAAATGTTTTTTTTCCCCACATTTGTTTTGTCAATTGAAACTATATATATGGTGCATGTGTAGGAATACGTAGATGAACAATTTACTCAGCTAGAAGAACTTCAAGATGATGCTAATCCTAACTTCGTGGCGGAAGTCGTCAACCTATTTTTTACAAATTCAGCTAGATTTATCCGTAATATTGAGCTTGCTCTGTAAGTAACTTCATTTTTGCTTTACAACTAGCCTAGGGGTTCTTAATTTCTCTTTCTTTCGTTCGTCATCTCTTTGATTACACAGTAAATTTTTAATATATGTGCAAGAATCTGCCGGACATCTTATAATATGTTCCTTATCATTTATTAAGTTACTAATAAATTCCTATTATATAAACATCTTACTTATAATTAATTTTTATTAAATGATTTAATTGTGTAAAAATTGTTTAAATTATTGTTAATGTATAAAACTCAGACTCTAAAAAATGGTCTAGTTAACTGTTGTTTTCCGAGGTGTTAGAGCCCTCTTTAGTAAACGTTCGTAAAAGATGTAGGCAATTGGGAAAATACACATATAAATTCTCTCTCGGCGCACGTTAGGTGACTGACTAACCTACGCCCTCACCGGAAATGGGAGGAAGAGGACGACCGAGGAGGAATACTACCAAAGTACCAGTACTAGACCAGAAGGTTATGACGACTAGATCGAGTGAACAAGTAAAAGGAAAGGCCAATGCTATGGATCAAATCCAGGAGGAGGGGACAAAACAGGAAAATGACAGTGACGACAACTGGCCAGATCTGGACAAGTATCGAAATCAAGCAACAACTCCAGTGAATTCGAGCAGGAAACTGGCACTGACGATGAACATGAGCAAAGGAAATAGCGAAATTAGGGTTCAAATGAGAAAACCAGCTCGAGTGAGGTAAAATCCAATGGAATAGTACATGCAAGCTCAAGCAAGGAACAGAGGGCTATTTCTGTGGATAATCAAAAGGAAGCTCAAAGGAAGAACTCTATTCCAACTGTTGATAAGGGTCGATCATGGGCGAGATTACTACAAGAGAACAAGCTAGCTGCAAAAGGTATGAATCTCAACTATATACCACCGTCAATGAAGGATGGTAAAGTAGTTGTACAGCTGATGGAGGAAGACATTGTTGAGGAAAATGAAAAATGGAATAGAGCAGTAATATTGTATGTGGTGGGGAATACACCTTCAATCGGTGCCATTGAAAGGTTTATCAATAATCAAATGGCGAGTGTGCAAAAACCAAAGGTGTTATTTCATAATGAGGGATATTTCATAGTCCTGCTTAGTACCCCTATACAATTAACAATAGGCCAGTTATTATGAGGCAATGGTCGGAGAATTTTGATTTTAATGAGGAAGTTCTGAGAACTATTCCCCTGTGGATCAAGCTTCCAAATCATCCACTTATCCTTTCGAGTAATCAAGCGTTAGGTAAGATAGGAAGTGGATTGGGGAAACCAATATATATTGATGCTTGTACGACTATTGCTGAAAGAATCTCATATGCAAGGATTTTAATAGAGATGGATGTCACTAGGTCTTTACCAGAGAAGATAAAACTCTGTGATCCAAAAGGAAAGGTGTTGGAACAAATTGTGCACTATGACTGGAAACCAACATATTGCCAGAAATGTTGCCAACTTGGCCATACATGCAAGGATCAAAGGAAGCTGAGACAGGATGAAGTGAGGAAAAATGTGGAAGGGGAGCAAATGCAGGAATGGAGGAAAGTTAGAGCACTTGATCCTAAGGTTGACAAAATTGATGCACAAGGGAGATTTACTGAACAACTGGAGGAACAAGTAGCTATACAAAAGAGTAACTCAGAGGTTGAGGAACAATGACAAGTAGTTAGAGGTAGATCTGCAACTAAGAAGCACACAGATGTGATAAGGGAGAGGGAAGTGGATATTGGCAATGCATTCAAAGCTCTAGTTGATACTGCTCAAAAAATTATTCAAATGTCAAAAGCTCGAGGTGTAAAGGGAATGCATAATAAGGAAGACAAGGGTGGACCTCCAACTTTACCTATTATATCATGATGAACTTTATTGCATGGAATGTAAGGGGTCTGAATAAGGTGTACAAACAAAAAGAACTATAAAAATTTTGCAAAATTAATAATGTAGTTTTGATAGCAATAATTGAGCATAGAGTAAAGCAAAGTAATGCTGACTCTGTGTTAAGGAAAGCTCTGAAAAACTGAAAATGGGTGGATAATTATGATGAGGCTCCTGGGGCCAGAATATGGGTTGCATGGGATTCTACATTGGTGGATTATGCAATTATTAGACATCATAAACAATTTATTTTGGGGGAAGTAACATTACTACAACAGAATGTTCAGTTTCACCTATGTGTTGTCTATAGTAAGCATACAATACATAACATGAAGAGTCTATGAGAGGAGATGCTAAAATCAGTGGTCAATATAAGGAGTCTTTGCCTTATAATAGGGGACTTCAATACAATTCTAACTAGTGAGGATAGATTCAATGGAAACCCTGTAGGCCTGTACAGGAGATGGAGACAAGGGAATTTAAACAATTCTTAGTGGATACCAAAATAGATGAGTTAAAGACAGTGGGAAGAAAATACACATGGACTAATAACCATGTGCATAGTAGAATAGATAAAATTCTAGTAAATGCTGAATGAATACAATAGTGGCCTAACATGGAGGGGATGTCTATGAATCTTGGATTCTCTGATCATTGCCCTCTTAGTATGAAGTTTGATACAAGTAGCCAAGTTGGAGGGAAACCTTTCAAGTTCTTGAACTGCCTGGTAAACTTGAAGACCTTTGAAGGTACAATGCAGAGGGGTTGAGAGAGTGGAAAGAACAGATAAACAATGTTGACAGTTTGGAACAAACTTAAGAAGTTAAAAGGGTTACTGAAGCAGATGAATAAAGAGAAGTTCAGTGGTATTGATAGTAAAATACAGGATGCTAGAGAAAGATTAGAAAGTATACAGAACCAAAAGAGATGTCCTGACCAAGGAGAAATGCAAATTGAATTGGAAAGAACTACTAAATTGGAGCTGGAGAAATGGTTAATGGTGAAGGAGAGTATTATGAAATAGAAGTGCAGAGTACAGTGGCTTAATTTGGGAGATTCTAATACAGCTTATTATTATGCTTGTATGAAGAATAGACAAGCAAGGAACAATATTGGTAGGTTAACTGACAGTAGTGGGGATATAATGCAAAGTCTTGAAGAGGTGAAGGCAGAAATTCTAAATGTTTATAGAGGATTACTTGGTAATTCAGCTACAATGCTACCAATGATCAACTATGACATAATAAAGAATGGCAATGTGCTAAACATGAGTCAACAACTACTGTTAATCAGACCAGTCAGTAGGAAAAAAGTGAAGCAAGCTTTATTGGGCATTGATGACAACAAGACACTAGGGTGTGATGGATATAACTCCTACTTCTTTAAAAAGACATGACACATTGTGGGAGAGGAAATAACTGCAGCAGTTCAAGATTTCTTTGAGAGTGCTGATATGTGTAAAGCCATTAATTGCACAACAATCACACTGATTCCAAAGATCCAGAATCCAACAAACATAAGAAACTTCAGACCTATTTCATGCTGCACAGTTTTATACAAGCTCATCTCTAAAGTGATAACCACAAGAATGCAAGGGTTAATGGATAGACTGGTGGATAATTGTCAAGCTGCTTTTGTACCAGAAAGGCTGATCACAGATAACATTCTGATGAGTCATGAGCTAGTAAAAGGTATGGACGGAAGAGTATCTCCCCTAGATGTATGCTTAAGATTGACATGAAAATATGATTCTATGGAGTGGAGGTACATAGAACAAGTGTTAAGGTCACTGAATTTTCCAAAAATCTTTGTGAGATGGATAATGGCTTGCATCAGTACAGTGACCTACTCAGTTCTAATAAATGGCAGACCAACAAATCCTTTTGAGGCAAAAAAGGGACTCAGGCAGGGGGATCCACTCCCACCCTTCTTATTTGTTTTGGCTATGGAATACCTGAGCAGGTCATTGAAGACTCTGAAGGATGACAAGAATTTTAAATATCATCCCATATGTGCCAGGTTAACCTAGTGCAACTGGGGTTTCCAGATGATTTACTATTGTTTTGTAGAGGTAATGTGCAATCTGTGCAGATACTGCACTAGCATTTTTAGAAATTCTCTACAACATCAGGACTGGTTGCTAATCCAAATAAGAGTTGCATCTATTTTGGAGGGGTGAATCAGTTGACTCAGCAACAAATTATGGAGCCTTTTGGTTATAAAAAAGGGAATTGCCTTTCAAATACCTAGGGATTCCATTGAGTACTAAGAGACTATCTGCTATACAATGTGAGCCACTAATTGAGAAAATGTTGCACAGAATTCAGAACTGGACAACAAAGTACTTATCATATGCAGGTAGAGCAGTTCTAGTAAAGAGTGTGTTGTTTGCCATCCAAACATTCTGGGCACAGATCTTTATACTACCTAAGAAGGTTATACAATTCATAGAGACCATCTGTAGAAGGTTTCTGTGGACAGGAGATGCTGAACCAACAAAGAAGGCCTTGATAGCTTGGGAAAGACTTTGCTCACCTAAGGTTGCAGGGGGATTGAATTTCATAGATGCGGCTTTGTGGAATGAAACTGCTATTTGTAAGCTGCTATGGAATATATGTACTAGAAAGGAGAAGCTATGGGTGCGTTGGCTACATACTTACTATGTCAAAGGCCAAGCAGTGTGGAATGTAGAACCAAAGAATGCTTCTTGGATAATTCAGAAGATATTTCAGGCTAAAGAGTATTTCACTAAGGCTGGTATGACTGAAAATGATGTCCAACTAATGGACAAATGCTCAATCAAGGGACTTTGCAGATCACTACAAGGTGTATTTCAAAAAGTAACATGGAGGAAGCTAGTGTGTAATAACCAAGGGCAACCAAAATGGATATTCATATTGAGGCTAGCAATACAGCAAAGGTTAGCTACCAAAGACAGGCTGGTACGATGGGGTTAGATATAGATCAAACATGCTCTCTGTTTAATAAGGAAAATGAGACAATGCAGCATATATTTTTCAAGTGTGAGATTACAGGGAAGATATGGAATAGTCTGCTGAGATGGCAAGGGATTCAAAGATCACACAACAATTGGCAAGACGAGATTACATGGATGGTGAAGATAATTAAAGGTAAGAGTGCAAGAGCAGCTATATGCAGAATGACACTAGCAGCTGCAGTGTATCACTGCTGGCAGGAGAGGAATTTTGTGATTTTTCAGAAGAAGAGAAGGACAACAACTTCGTTAATCAAGCTTATTATCCAGGAAGTGCACATAAGGGCAGCAAGATTCCCTTATCTAGATAAGGTGATAACTACTTTGAACTGGTATTCAGAAATTAGCTAGAATAGAACAGTAGTGGAAGTTGATGGAGGTTAGGAGAGGTGAAGGCTAGATATCATCTTACTGGGGCTTCATGTCGAGTTGGTGATATGCTAGACAAATTTTGTAATAGTTAGATGAGTTGTAAATATTGTTACTTGGTATTTACCAAAAAAAAAAATTGGGAAAATACTCTTTTTTCTATACCCGTAGTATCTGAACCAGTTTGTGCGTACCTTGACTAATTTCACGGTATACCTGTCACTAGGAGTGTATATAGGCCGGATTGATTTGGATTTTTCAATTACCAAACCAAATCAATGGTATCGGGTTTTTAAATATATAAACCAAACCAAACCAAACCAACAAAGTCGGGTTTTTCAATATCGATTTTCTCGGTTTTTTCGGATTTTTGGGTTTTCCCCTCGGTAAAGAGTTCATGGCGCAAAATATGTAACGTGTGCTCCAAATATTTCTTTAGTCCTAGTAAGATACAACTTTATAATGTATTTTTCAAGAAAATAATACAATAATATGAGATAAGTCATAGCATTATATTAAAATATTCGATAACAAAGATAATAAAATTACATAAAAACAAATATTGCTAACTAATAAGCCATAATAAAAATTAACATAATCTAAAAATACTATATAGGTCATGCTAAAATAAGTATAGCTAATAAGTACTATTAACTACATAACTAAGCACTAAAGAAAAAGATAAACAAAATTATGCACTTTCATTATAAACCCATGCAAAACTAAAAAATAGATATCCAACACTAGCGTCATTCCTAGTGTTGAATTGAATTTTTTTTGTTAGCATTAGTATTAATTTGAACTTTGTTTGATCAGTTACTACATATATGGGCTATAAAATTTATTTACCATTCAAAAATGTTAAGTCCAAATTTGAAATAATACGTTAAAAGATAAAACTGTGAAAAAGTTTAAGGGATATTTATAAGTTATATTACAATAAAAGTTATATATATAAAATATTTTAAAAAATGTATAAATATATTATCGGGTTAGTTTGGTTTTGATTTGACTTTTTTTTAGTTAAAACGAAATCAGGTATAGTCGGATTTTTTTCTCATTACTAAATCACAATCGGATTTTTTTTTCGATTTGACTCGGATTATCGGTTTTCTTTTACACCCCTACCTGTCACCTCTCACCAGCAAGAGGTACAAGGTAACTCTATCCATCAAAGCTTGGATAGATAGGAAGAAATCACCTATTGTTTATTGCCTCCACTGGGATTTGAACCTGAGACCTCATGGTTCTCATCCACTTCATTAACCACTAAGCCACACCTTTGGGTGCAATTGGGGAAATAGTCCTCAATATGTGACAAGTCATAGGGTGTGTTTGGTATGAAGGAAAATGTTTTTCAATTTTTCCATGTTTGGTTGGCTTAATGTTTTGGAAAATATTTTTCCTTATAACTCATTTTCCTCTCATTGGAGGAAAATATTTTCANAGAAATTATAAAGTTTACGAGTTCGAAAGTTTATGAAATTTGTGGGTTCGGAAGGTTGTTGGTTTGAAAGTTTTTGGCTTCATGCTTATTGTATCTAAATTATTTATAAATACTCTTGAGAATTTATTTTCTTTAATTTGGGTACCAAACTTAATTTTGCTTATATCCACAATATAAGGAGTAATGATTATGATTGCAAACTTAATTTTGCTTTGTCTCCACAATATTTTACTTATTTTTCCCTGTAAAAAAGGTGCCAAATGGGTGAGTTGGGTTAATTTTGGCGGGTCAAAACAGGTTGAGTCAATAATTGGACGGGTCAAATAACCCATTTAAAAGTTACTTGGGCTAAGATGGGTTGAGTCAAGATGGGCTAAAATTTGGGTCATAGCCCAACCAACCCAACTCTATCAATCTTTAGTTAATATATGTTGTTTTCTTATGAATTATATAATTACTAAATAAGATTTTTTTTCTTTTGTTATGGTCATATATAATATATCAAATAAAAAAATAAATTAATTTCTAAAATATTTTGGCAAAGCTACTCATGGATCAATCTGAGCTAAAAATTAACCTAACTTTAAATGAGTTTAGATGGATTGGGTCAAGATGAATTGAGTTCAATAAATGGGCGGGTCAATAACCAGCCCAACCTTGGACGGGTTGAGCAGGTCATTTGGGCTTGGGCAAAATTTGACAGCCCTAATTTGCTGTTTGGCTGTAGAACCTCAACTATTTCCCTTATTTTCCAATAGAACTGAATCAGAAGTCTCTACTAATGCACAACTTCTGCTGCAGTATCGGTGCAAAAAGAGTGAAAAGAGGATGTTCTCATTTTGAAGAGTACTGCAATCAAAGAAATATCGACGGGTAAACATGCATCTTCACACTTTTTTTTCCTCTTATTTCATTAATATATGTGTGTGGTATGGCCAACGTATTTTTTATGAAAAATGTTTTTTGGAGTTATGATTGACTATTTTTTGAAAAAAAGTATTTTTAAAGATGAATCACAATATTAGCGAATTATATATATTTTTATGATATTTTGAGGATTAAAGATTGTTAGTAATAATATTAGTAGTGTCTAAGTGTTTCGGTGGAGCAAGCGAGATGAAGTTAAAAGATAAAATAATTGCAAGAAAAATGACTTTCGCCCGTATATAAGAGAGGAAAGTTAGTTCTTCTTTTTAATGACAAATATTTTCTTGACATATGTTTTTTTTTCGGGTAATTAAATACCAGAAAATATATTTTTTTCAGGAAAAACATTTTATTCAAATTAAATTGGAAACTGAGCACATGTGGAACATATATTCAGGTGCAAGAGGGCATTTCAAGGGGTGAAGCAAGAATATGCCACTCTAAAGTCTAAGCTTGATGCTTATTTTCAGGTCTCTTCCTCTCTCTTTTATAGATGCATCTTATATATATATATATATGATTTCTAACATTTTATATATTTTAACTGTAGATTGCAAGAGAAGCCTCTTGAATAAATGTTAAACATGTTCCCTATTGAAAGCAGACAGTATCAGAGTTGACAAGATAAGCCCCATGTCTTCCTTCAATTAAAAGCTAAGTATATACATGTATAAAGAGTGGATGATACACAGGGTCCTCTTATGATAAAATAAAATAAAATAAAACCATGCATGGCATTTCAAATTGTCAGCTGGGGCATATTGTTCTGTTGCATATTAATGAAAATCTTATGTTTATCTGCAAGGTCCTTTATTTTGGCTAAATACGATAGAGTTTCAGCTTTTTTTTTTTTAAAGATTTGGAACAGAAAAAAGAAAAAAAAAATACACAATTAAAACAAATTGTCATTGTATCCAAAGAAGAAATAAAAAAACAAATATGGGATAAACTATGCATTATATTGCATGTTAAAAAGAAGCAAGAAGAAATATAAGATTGGAACACATAAACAACCCTCTGTTTCGTATTAAATGAATTACTTTCCTTTTTAGTCTGTTCTAAAACAAATGACACATTTCTAAATTTGGAAATAATTCAACTTTAAACTCTTTTATTTTATCCATTTACCCTTAATGAGAAGCTTTTATAGTCACACAAATATCATGACTCCACAAACTTTTTAATACCATAAATTTCAAAAGTCTTCTTCTTTTTTCTTAAACTATGTGCCGAGTTAAATTACCTCGTTTAATATGAAATGGAGGGAGTAATATGACAATGTGGCAATCAATGGTTAGAAGCTGATTTTTTTTTTCTTTTTCATTCCCACGCCCTAAAAGAGAGCCATTTCAGTGTCTAGGGATGTCAAGGCTGTCAAACTGCCAACTTGAGGAAGGTAATCATGACCAAAAATAGTTTAGGTATGCATTGAATAAAACGTGTCAAGTTTATTAATTCTAGCAAAAAAGATGGAATACATGGAGAAAGCACAAACTAAAGAAGCTTCCAAGTGCACATATATCTAGTTGATTAATTAAGGTGGCCATGCATAAACGAAGTTGTTTAATAAGAGAGCATAACATGCAGTGCTTCTTCTTGTTTTCCTTTTTTAAACGCTGAGATAGCCATGAAACTATTTACCCCAAATTTTCCAGTTAAGGACTTCATATATGAGGTAGCCTTTTCAAGTGTAAAGACCTACAACAGTTCAACATTTCTGCTATATTGTGGGAGGCTAGCAATATATGCTGGTCCAAATAAAGTAAGCTATAAGCAATGTTGGAATTTGGATCATAGCGGTACACTCAAAGTTGGACATGGAGCAGTAAAACCAACTTAAATTTATAAAATAAGTATAACTGCATATTACTTTTATAAAATAACCATTGATTGGTTATTGGAATTAATGATAACTAATATATTATAATAAATTAAATTGCATATTGTAAAAATTTATTAAGGTAATATATTATAATTCAAATACTTTAAGATTTAGTTTGGTAAAAAAAATAATATGTGCTCGCATTTTAGAATTGTTATTAATCCTTGAGTTTCTCGTTTACTCATTCAACGGCATACTTTTAATAACATCATGCATTTATCCAATTATATGAAGTATGGATCAAGATAACATGGATGATATTGGAACAACCAAAAAAATTACTGTAATTACTTACTAGCATCAATTATAATGAGAAAAAGATCAACGTTTTGCTTGGAAAAGAAGGGAGGAAAGACTAATATAGGGAAAATGGTTATAAAAAAAAACCTCTTGTTAATTTGGTTCAGGAAAGAGCAGTAAATGATTGAAAGAAGAAAAAAGCAGATATTTTTGGTTCATAGAATTTAACAATGCATGCATAATTGATATTAGATTCATTAATTCAACTTTAAGAAGAATATGCTCTGTGGAAAATAAGAATAATGGGAGTAAATGATGGAGTATATTATTTCGATCAAAGGATTAAAGAAAACAGAGCAGCATGAGAAAAGGTATGCCAAATGCTAGGCGTCTGTCCATCTTCAGATGCTGGAATAAGGAGTCCGTGTTCTTCTTTTACCTGTGTGAGATAACAATTCCTAGAACTAAATGTCCATGCTGTATTGCCTCGATCCCTTCTCAAGATATAACGAATCACGAAATGAAGCATAGTGAACGGGGAGCTAATTTGCCCCAAAAGTTCCAAAATTCAGCACAGGAATGCCAGAAGAAAAAGAAGAGGAAAAAGAAATAGAAAGCAATACCAAATAACAAGTTGAAAGATATCAGTTAAAACACCCAGGAAGAAATGTTATGTCTCCTTTTGTGCAGTAATCAAGAAGATAATTGTTACATATAAGGTCACTCGAGTTATGAGGAGTGAGTTTTTGGCTAGATACATCCCTAAACTAGGACCCAAACTTAAGGTAAATCCTTATGTTGTTATAGCAATCAAAAATCATCCCTTAACTAATTAAAAAATTGCAAGAACCATCCTTCAGCAGTCACCAAAATGCACGTGACTTCCCCCAAAGTTTCATGTTCCATCCCTCCCTATTGTCTTCAACCTTTAGCAAAGCAAGAGGCCTTTGAGCAGAGAAACCATTTGCTCCAATTATTTTACACCATTACCAACTGAAAGAGATATGGTGTTGACATAATTTATGTTGGGAATAAACTCCCACAGAAATAATATTCACGGTAATAAAAGCGGAATAATAATGTAGCACCGAGATACGATAATTAACAAGAATAAAAGAGTAACAACGACACCAAGATTTTTATGTGGAAAACCTTTTTAATAAGGGAAAAAACCACGGCCCCGAGAGGAACAACTGATATCACTATAGTAACGAATTTTATACTTTGTAGGTCCGAGTAAAATACTCCAAAGACCACTACAACACTCAAAAGAAATAACCCTCTTTTGATATTCCCACCTCACTACAATATCGCTCACTTTCTATTTTCCGCACAGACTATTTTCTTATACCCTGTCTGTGAAACCTCACTCTTTCTTTCTCTCTTTGTTGGTGTGAAAAAATGAGAGTTGAAGCTCTCCTTTTATAGTCAAAGCTTCACTCTCTAAAGCCTACAATATTTGACAATTTACACACACTTTTCACAATTCTACAAAGTTGGCTACCAAACCAAAGAAATTCAACAAGGTTAGCTACCAAACCAAACTAATTCAACAAGGTTGACTACCTAACCAAACCAAGTCAACAAAGTTGGCTACCAAACCAAAGAAACTTTTATTAGGCACATGCCTAATACTTCTTCAATGAGATGGACATCATCAATCTCCTCCTCCAGTCTCATTCATCTAGAGGAGGTAACATTGTCTTCTAGTTTGAGTGCATGCCGACAAGTTCTTTGCATAGCTCGAACTTGTTCCTTAGTACCACCTTGGTCAGCATATCTGCGGGATTCTCATTTGTAGAAATCTTCAAGACTTTTAGAGATTCATCATCTACCATTTCTCGAATCCATGATATCTCACATCAATGTGTTTGGTCCTCGCATGGTACATAGAGTTCTTGCTAAGGTCTATTGCACTTTGACTGTCACAATAGACGACATACTCCTTCTGATGCAATCCAAGCTCTTGAAGGAGTCGTTTGAGCCATACCATCTCATTGCCAGTTTCTATAGCGACAATGTACTCTGCTTCAGTTGTTGAAAGTGCAACACACTTCTGCAACTTAGACTGCCATGATATAGCTCCCCTTGAAAATGTAAACAAATATCCAGTAGTGGATTTTCTGTTGTACCATATCAGCATCTGTATAACCCTTCAAGATTGAATCAGATCCTCCAAAGCACAAACAATCTCCCGTGGTACCTCTCAGGTACCTGAGTATCCACTTGACTGCTTCCCAATGTTCCTTTCCAGGATTTTCAAGAAACCTACTGACAACACCAACTGCGTGAGCAATATCAGGTCTAGTACATACCATTGCATGCATTAAGCTTCAGACTGCTGAAGAATAAGGAACTCTAGCCATGTTCCCTTTCTCTTCCACTGTTGTAGGACTTATCGTTTTGCTCAACTTTAGATGACTAGCAAGAGGTTAGCTGACTGGCTTAGCATTTTTCATGTTGAAGCGTTCCAGTACACGTTCAATGTACTTCTCCTGAGATAGCCACAACTTTCTACTTGTTCTCTCTCGAACGATCTTGATCCCTAGAATTTGTTGTGTTGGCCCCATGTCCTTCATATCAAATGACTTGGACAGATCTCCCTTCAACTTTGCTATCAGCCCCTTGTCTTTTCCTACAATTAACATATCATCCACATACAACAGCAATATAATAAAGTTATTCTCAGAAAATCTTTTGAAGTATACACATGGATTAGAATAGGTCTTTAGGTATGTTTGACTTTTCATGAATGAGTCAAACTTCATGTACCACTGCCTTGGTGCCTGCTTCAATCCATAAAGACTCTTATTCAATTTGCACACCATTTGTTTCTTTACAGCTACTTCAAATCCTTCTGGCTGATCCATATAAATCTCCTCTTCCAAATCTCCATGAAGAAATGCAGTTTTCACATCTAACTGCTCC